CCCCAAAACCCCAAAACCCCAAAACCCCAAAACCCCAAAGTGGTTTGATCATATTGAAATTATACTTTATGAATACTACTGGTACCTTGACAATTTTTTCAAGAAATTCTTTTTCTTGTCTTGTTCTCTCTTTCTCTTATGTTTGAGTTGTCTCTTTTTCTTAAATGCAGAAACATTCTTGACAGCTGAAATCCTTTCATTCTTCTTCCTCTCTGCCTTTTGCATATCAACAAGACTCTTGACTTCGGAATATATTTTCAAGAACTCGCTTTGTCTAGATAAATTAAGAAATTTGATCAAGAACAGAAAAGCAATGAAAGACTTACTCATTTCCTCATTTCTTTTGAAGAATCTCAATAATCTCAACTGACAAAGTTTTGGCTTCGGATTTGCTCAGTTTAACATTGGTGTAAGTTCTGTATACCAACAGTAGAATTTGCCTAGTGATCATCTGCACTATTTTCTTATCCTTAATTGCTGAGAGAACAGTTACAAAGAATTTAAGAACCAATATAAGTTTATACTCGTTTATATTCAGATTTATCATAATCTTTCTCCCAATGAAGGATCATTTATCGAACATTTTCTGTAGTTTATCTCCAGCATCTTCAGTGCTTTGAGAGCTTAAGTGAAGGGCTATAAATACAAGCAGATTTATTAATTTCTCTCCTGAGATTGTGTCCTTATCGATTAAGTCAAACATTCTCGGCAAACTGAGGCTTAGATCATCTATTAAAGAGTTAATTTCTTCATTTTCTTTATAGTTCACTCCAGAGGACTCAAATTTTTCGAAAATGGTTTGCAATAATCTTGATATTTGCTTATAAACAAAATAGTGATCTGAGAGTTGGACTAGATTTTTCATAAAGCTTTGTTCTTCCTTGCTTATGATTTTATTATACAATAACTTCCAGCATGCTTCTTGATGAACAAATTTTTCAATAATATTTAAAGTTGCTACAAGGGTGAAGCATTTTTCTTGGCTAACTTCTTCATTTAGTTTTCTTCTTTTGTGGTTTCCTTGGAGATCTTTCTTATTAATTAGAGATATTTCAGTTAAGAACTGACCCATTTCCTCTTTTACGCCTTCAATTTGCTTCTCTTCTTCTTTATCCCTATCTTCTTCCTCTTCATTTACGGTATAGAGCTGTTTGAGCATCTCGGCTTGTTCAGCTATTTCAGCATTTCATATCTCAAATGTCTGTGCAAAGTATTTCGGGGCAAATTTATCACCTTCTATTGTAATGATAAGTCCTATAAGCAATAAAGTGACTCTCTTCATCATTGCAGATCTTCCAGAAGCATCCATTTCTTCAGGAATTTCTTCGCCAAGTGAAGGCTGTGAGTCATAGTCCCAATTAAGCACTGTTTTAATGATATCATCTCTCTTTGAATCAGAAACATTTTCTAAGAGAAGCTTAAGAGTTGTATTCGCTTTTTGCTTTCATTCTATTTCTTGTTCATTAACAGTTCTCAAGATCATAGATAGGAACAGCACAAATGAATACTTGTCAAGAATGTTAGTTGGGAACTGAGGTATCAGCTTCTCGATCACTTCTAGAACTGTAATTCTGCCATCTTTTCCAACATAAGTAAGGTTCTTAATCAGATGATGAATATGCTGCTCTACTCTTTTCTCCTCCAAAGGATAATCGATCAAAAATATGATGAAAATACTTGAACATATGGCTCTAGTGCTCTTGTTGGTATGGGTGACCATCTTGTCAGCAATTATGTCAACGATATCATAAATATGAGGATTCAAGATCTTTTTATGGACTAATGCTTTAAGTCATCCATACACATTAGCCTGCATCTGATAGTGCTCAAGATTAGCTTTTATAATCTCAATAAGTCTTCCAATTTGGTGGTCAGTCAGGTCATCTCTCATATATGTTACCATTTCTGTCGAACATTTAAAGAGTGAATTCATGAATTCACTGTCAGAACTTGTTGTGAATAATAAGAAAAGATTGTTAATAATGTTCCTGCAATGATATTTGATGTTGGGCAAATTCAGTCTAATTCATTTGCCAAGAAGGTGCAGAGTATTAACTAGCACTCTATTGTCAGTAGATTTCATAAGAACAACATAAAGCTTGGTGAATGCATCGAGTTTATCTTTATAGTCATGAATAGGAAGTACATCCATTGCTTTCTTAATTGTTGAGAGTGCAAAGGCTAGCAGCATGTTTTTAGATAATTCATTGTCAACAATTCTGAAATATGACAAATCTCGGTGCCAATGAGGTAACACTTTAAAGGTTTGATATTTAAGTGCTTTTTCTCTCTTTTTAACAAACTTGTCTTCTTCAACATCTTGCTCCTCTTCCTCCAGCTTATTTTCTTCTGTAGTTCCCTTCTTAATAATAGCGAACAAAATGATCAAAAGAGATTCTGCAGTCACACTCATGTTTTTAAGGATATTTGTGCTTATTATTGCTAAAATTTCTTCTCACTTTTTAATACTGCTAGATTTCAAGAAATTGTCTGCCTTGATGAGAACTGGAGTTACGAATTTAATAAAAGTGTTCTCAAAATTGATATATTGGGATAAAATTTCATATGTCTTTAGAGCTCTTTTTGATTTAGTTTCCTTAATTTTCAAATAATTTGTACCTTCAAGCTCTTTTTCAGCTCCTAGTTTTCCAAAAAGCTCATCCATGAGAATACTAATGATCGACTGATTTTTTCTTCTTGATCTTGTGGCAGCTTTAGAGTCATAGACACCAGCACTATCAATTCAATGATCCAGTTGGCCTACTTTGATATGATTTTGGTCAACTAAGGCCTCAATAACATGGCTCAATGTATAGGACTTAACATGCCTTTGATATCCTTTTCTCAACCCTTTTTGTAGCTCATCTACTGTATAATGGAATAGATATCCAGAAACATTTAAATTTATTTGAATTAAAGCATCTCTTGCTCTATCTCTTACTATTGTAACTTTGCTTCTTAATCACCCAACAACATTTCTAACAAGCCTGGCATATCCCGTACTAAAATCTCGATTTGTGGTCTTTCTTAAGAGCCTCACTATAGCGATTGCAACATGTATCCTGATTTTATAGTCATCATTACTTTCTGCTTTATTTGTTCTCTTCCTTTAAATGCTTAAATAAGGATGGAATAAAGCTATTATTCACAGTTTTCAGAATAGCATTCACATTGAATGCTTTATTCAACTTCTCTTCTTCTGACTTGTCAAGAATATTTTCTATCTGTTCTTGAATTTGTTGTTCAGCCTCTTCTTTATCATCAGAGTCGGAGGCCAGTCCATCATCCACTTTTTCAACTACTTCCTCTTCTTTTTCAAAGATGTTATCAAGAATTTCATCAAGGCCACCTTTGCTTTTATCTTGGTCCAGAGTCTTTTCAAGCTCATCAACAACATCTGGAATGTCAAAGTGGAATCCGTTGATGATAGAGCAAATAATTTTTGTAATGTTCTTTTCTACTGTTGACGATAACCTTTGCCCCTTTCTAAGAGTCAAACCAGTAATTTTGATAATATTCTTCCTCATAATTCCTTGATAGAGATTCCAAGGCAAGACCTGGCTTACTTTCTGGTATAGAAGATATCACTCATTATTAATTTGCTCCAAGTTTTGCTTGGCATAGCTGACGACTCCTCTTGTTGAACTTTGAGCTTGGGACATTCTGAGAATAAACATATCAGCAATAGGAAGTATTATCTTGGTTAGTGTTTTAAGATCTTGAATCTCTTTATCCTCTAACTTTTTGCATAAAAGTCTTATAGCTTTATATCTTCTTTGTAACTTAATATTGAGAATGTTCTCGAAAAAGTCTGCATTCTCGTCCTTCTCATCAATTACACAAGCTAGATCGAGGTATTCCTTTGGAACTTTCAGTTCTTTTAGGATTTCTTCAAGGTTTTCATTACTGTATAGGTCTCTAATACATTGCAGATATCTTTTTAAGATTTTAAAAGTCGCCTTTAATAATAATTCTTCAGTCTTAGTGTTAATAATAGATCTGATTGAAGGAATCAAATGTAAAGAAATGAATTTAGATCTATTCACTAAGTCTTCACTTTCAGGTTTCATGTCTTGGTTTGAATAATCAATGATATCTTTATAATATTTAGCAATGAATGAATCAAGAAGGCTGGTTGCAGAAACTCTTAATGAAAGCTCAGAACTGTTCAAGAAGTGTATGACCTGGAATAAAATAGCAACAGATTCATCGAATGTTGCAGTTGGTAGTATTTTATCTTGAAATTCTGTTGCATTTGTGATAGCTTTATCATAGTCAAGCGTTGCTGTAGCAAATCCCTTCTTAATCTTATTCATGTTTCTGACATAAGTAATCGATTTTTGTACTTGAGAATCAGGAATTATTGAAAGTAAGTTGCATAAATATTCTCTTGAGCTGAGTTTTATGCCTTCAGATAATAATTTCGAAATCATATAGAATCGCTTAATAGTAATCAGAGATGGCATTTTTTGACACAGCCTTTCTACTGTTCTCAGAGTATAATTTACAAGTTCTTCCTTCCCATGCGTAATGAATCCTTTAACAGTCAAAAGAGGGATAAACATGTCAGTAAGTTTCTCTAATTGATCTTTCTGATCAACATTTACGTACACACTGATCTCACTTAAAATCTATAGAAAAATAAATATACATTATCCTTGGTGCTATTAGAGAAATCATCCTAAATCGAAGACTACTTACCAGAACGACATTCTTTATGAAACTTGGAGATCTGAACACATGGTCTTTGGTGAGAACACTGACAACCGTTCTCTTATCTAGATCTCCTTTGGTCTTCTTTTCCTTTTTATTTAAGATCCCATTCTTAATAATCTCCCAGTTATATTGGAGGAAGTTTGAAATTGAGCTGATCATGGATCCATACTTCAAAGAAATGATCTCAATAGAATCTGAATTTGACATTTCAACATCTTCATTTTCTTGTCTTCTGAATAAATTGATAATGGTATCTCTTTTATCTAGTTCTTCCTCGTTTGAAGAAAGACCAGAGATCACTATATTCCTGAAGATCGTGAAAATCATTGAGTAAACTTCAAAGTGCACAATATCTTTATTGTAACCAATAATCTTGCAAAGCTGATCAACCACGTTAAATTGAAGAAATAAACCATGTAGGTCTAAGTGCTTGGACCAAGTCAAGAAGGTGTCCATTAATGCAGATTTGGAAGATATGTTCTGTGTATGAAGATTCTCAATATTTTCTTTGTAAATAACCATGACATCTTGGCTAAAATCTGTCTTGATATAATCAAGATAGAAGTACTTCTCATAAATCAAATTAATCTTTTTAAAAGTATTTGCAAATACAGTTCTACATAAAGACAATGTATGAGATGAAACATTCTGAAGATCAGCTTGTGGTGAGAGATTTTCATCCTCTTCATTCTCAGAGTCTTCTACCTCATCATCAATTGGTCCTTGAGTTTGCTTCGTTTGATAAAAGAACTTCTTACTGATTTTGAAAATGGCAATGAGTACACTACATAAGTAAGGAAGATGGTCTTTAATAAGAGATCCCATTTGGCCGACTATTCCTTCAAGGGCAGAAATATATCCCAGATATTGAGTAAAACCGCATTGACTTAATTTTGCTTCTAAAATTTGTGGATCTTTGGTTTCTTCAAGAGTCAGGTTAAATGGTTCAATAACTTGTCTAATAAAGATATCAATGTCATCGTTTTTCAACTCAGCTAAGAATTTATAGACAATCTTTCTCCTGGTCATTATGGACTTTCTGTTTGCTTTTCCTCTCTTCTTAAGCAATTTTGAGTTTAGCATTCTTATGATATAAGGAAGAAGCACTTTTCTTTCGTGGTCAGTGAGCGTAGAGAGAGGGAACTTTACAACTTCATCTTTGAAATCTGTATCAGAGTTGAAAGCCATTAAGGATTTCTTGTATTTAGTAAACTCTGGAATTTTTAATTTAAGCAGTTGTTTAAGAACTAAAAGCTGAACATTTTCGTCATTAATTCCTAGTAAAACAGTCAGAATATGTTTGATTCTTTCAACATCTTCGAGCACTTCAAGGTAACACTTGAGCTTGTTTGAGGAATTTTTCATATGCATTTGAGCATACTTAAGACCGTCAGCCAGGAATCCATGAGTATTGCTTTTGTGCATATTTTTGTAAATTTCTTCCTCACTAAAGTTATTTTTGTTATCCTTTTCTTTTAATTGAGAGAATTCGTGATGATACACTAAAGAATTAATAAAATCTTACCCAAAAACTCATTATTCATGAATAAAATGAATCTGTCTGTCAGGTTTTTCTGAGATTCAGTTGGTAAATCAGTGATTCAGTATGTCAATGCCTTAACCAAATTCTGGAAAACAGAGAGTGTAGAATTATATTGGTTGTCGATTGATTCCCCATTCTCCTCACCATTCTGTGCTTCCAAAATTACAAAGCTTCTATAGGTTGGCAGATCTTCCTCTAGATTTGGATACAGTTCTTTGGCAGCCAAATTATCAAATGGGCCAATTCTGAGTATGATGTCAACTGTGTCAAGAATAGTAAAATATTCTTGGATTAAAGTGTCATGATATTTAGTAAGCAATTCTGCTAATGCTTTTTGGATTGTCATATATAAAGGAATAAATTTTACTCTGAACATTCCTATTAGAAATCTTAAATATATTCTTTGCATCAGGAGAGACATGTCTTCTTTTCTGAAAATGTTCTGTAACCTCTCAATTTCATTAATTTGGATCCTTTCATCTTCTAAGTTAATCTTTGAAGACATAACTTTATGCATCAAGTGAATAGGATTGAAGCTATATTGCTGTTCCTCTAGAGAAGAGTAAAAGATTTCCTTGAAAATTTGCAAAGCCCTGGATCTAATTCCAAATCTTGTGCTCATAATCATTTCCAGAATAGTTTCAAAGGACTCTTCATACATACTAAATTTATCCTGAATAGAAGAGGCCTTCTCGCCAATATCAGTATCATTCTTTGCTTTGCCTTCTTCTGTACCCTTCTTCATCTTACTTTGCTTTGAGTCTTGAAGAGCACCGTTAATATTGAAATGCAAGGGGATCCATTGGAGAACAGCTTCTAAATATTGCTCATTTGGGTCTATTGAGTAGTCAAAGATTCAAAAGTTGCTTCCTATATAAATAAGTTAGCAGAAATTAAACAGTCATTAGTCAACAGCTCAATGCTTTGAGATTTCCAGCCGGAGAAATGATACAAAAGAGAGCACTATTAACAAAATTCATTAATTTTATTGACCAATGAAGATAAAGTTAGAGCCAATAAAACTTACCTTTTAATTTAATCTTCAGCAGGTTTGCTTTAATCGACATCAAAAGTTTGTAGGTATTCTTCATCATTGGAGCAAAGGTGAGCCTATATTATGGGTTAAGCTTTATCAATGAAATGGTAGAGTTAGAAAGATTGTTATATCAACAATATTTATTAATCTAGAGTATTCTAGTCCCTGAACTTTACTTGTTCAAGTCTTTATCGAGTCCAGTAAAAGTTTCTGAACCTTTAGCAGGCAAACAAAAAGTAAATATGATACTTGTTATTTAATAAATTCTGAATCTTAAAAATATTAGTTTTCTTGATATTTGTAATAGCTGTCACTTACATTATTTTCTGTTTGGCTCCATTCTCGAATTTAGTTAAAACATACTTCTCTGCTACTTGGTTTATCATATCTTCAACAACTTTCTCATTTCTGTAATCAGATAAAAGTTGTTCGATTTGAGATAGGCTCATATTACTACTCTCAAAATCTGGGTCTTGAGAGGAAACAGAAAGGACTTTAGTAAATAGCCAAAGTCTATTCAAAGATTCTCTTGGTATTTCAGACCCACTCCCTGATTCGCTTAAAATTTGCTCAATCTCAGTCTTGAGAGAAGGAACAAATGCATCTGGATTCATTAAGGTTTTGATTTCACTCAAATCTCTAAACTTAGTATGAGGGTTGTGAACAATGGCATTAAATGAGAAGGAAAGTAAGCCAAGATCAGTATTATTGCACAATGTGAAGATAAACATAACTCTTTAAAGAAGCCATGTTACTTACCTGTTCTTATAGAAAGCTTTATTATTGGTAGGATTTGCCTGAACTATAACCTCGGTATTTCCTTTCTTCTCTTCAGTTGGCCTATAATTTTTAATTAGAAAATTTTAGTTAGGCGTTACTTACTTTTGGGTGATTAATAGATAAGCATCTCAAAGGGAAAGTAAGGACTTTGCCTTTTGAGAAGAAACAGAGAAGCTTGATGCTAACTGCTCACAAAGTAGGGATTTGGACATCTCCGGGATCTATAAAAAGAACAATGAAAGAAGGTAATCAAATTTAAGCAATTTTGTGAAGATGAAGGTTTAAAACAGAGGCAAATTCATAGATAGCAAAGACCTTTAGTCAAAAATTCTGAAATAGAGTCTTTTCCTCCAAAAAAATAGACCAAGGATAATATTAAGCTGAAGTTTCTCTATATCATAGAATGTTAATGAACTCTAAGCTTCTTTAGGTATTAAGCAAAGATATGCTAATTATCAATCTTTTATTTACTGCTTCTAATCTGTGTAAAGATAAATATTTGCTGTTGAATAAAATGAGCTGATAAATATCTCTATTTTGCGATAAAACTTTTGAGAGCAAGCTTCTCAGTCAAACTAAAAATCTATGAAGTTTATAATGTCTTCTATCTTGCCACATTGTCTCCTCAGCTCAGTAATGCAAGCTTCTATTTCTGAAAATGCAAAAATAAGTTTTAATCTCATCTTTTAGCTAAAAATTGACTTTTAGACGAGCTCAACTGTCTAAAAGCTTTCATAACCATAACTCTGCTTAACCTCATTTGTATTAGTGCTTCGATGGAAGTCATGCATGCTGATTAAATGATTGCTTACCTTATTTGGAACTTTTTTCATTAAACACGACTTATTTTATAGTGTTTTCAATAATTTTATTAACTAGCGGGGTTTTGGGGTTTTGGGGTTTTGGGGTTTTGGGG